TTTTTTTTTTTTTTTTACACGTTTGCGTGTAAGATGAAATAATCAGATAGGAATGGCGCGGCGATAATTACCTATTCCCATTCAATATGATCCAGAGTTGTATAATGAACGAATCCATCGAGATTTGTTTACAGTTGTACGAATATAAAATAAAGTAATTAGAATCGCGGACCCTGCATAATGACTTTCATTCAACGAGATTCGAGTCTCTTGGACTGCGTGTAATGAATCCTGTTTGTGGAGAATGCACGAATGCTGGGATGCGGGCTCGTTAAATATAAGATAAAATAATAGAAATCCCGAGCTTGATTTTCTACGGTGATTATTTCATTCAACGAGGCCCTATAATACATGCATTCGTAAAGATCGAATTTGTGGCGCAGGCAGGTTTTTAATTAACTAAATCCTCAAAAGAAATAATATTCTCAATTTTGCACGATGATTTTTCACTATGAATCTTATAATAAATAAATGGATTTACAAGTTTCATTAGATTCGATTATCTACTATTTATTCTAACGAAATGAATTTTTATCAATGTGAAACAAAAGTAATCACAGAACTCACAATTAGTCAGAAGCTCCCTATTCCGACACTCGAGTGCAGTATAAATACTTTCTTTTATTAGACCTTTAGGACGGCTGAAAAATAAAATTTGTAACAAAATTAACTAGGTAGATGTATGAAAAGATACGTAAATAATGGACGAAAGGGAACAAGTTTCCATCTATTTAACAAAAGCTTCTGTCCATGTGCTTTAAAAACCTCATTTAAACATCCAACATGGTATCGCTGTTATTTCGTAAAAATTTTTCACCAGAAATTATTATTTTCATCATTCTGCTTTATTCCACTTTGGTCTGCTAAAATTTTCTAGAAATTACTTCTCGTTACCTACGAGAGAAATATAAGAAACATACGAAAATTTGCAGAATTATTCAAATTGGACTCGAAACATTTTAGCTGAGACTAAAGAAAGATTCGTATAAAGATATCAAACACTCAAGTCAATCGCTTCTATCTTTTGCGTTGATCGATCGCGGGGAAGGAAAATAAATTCTGAGGGCGAAATCACATTACGGCCGTGGTTATTAGTCATTAAACATTTTGGTCGAAATTGCGTAATTATGGCAGACAATGCAAATTCAAACGCATTGGAGGATGGCACATACATCGACGCACTGGACGTAACCCATATTAGCGTTTTAATATAATCGATAATTTACAACATCAATACGATGTAATTATAATATCTGATGCATTAAGCGGCGTAATTGAGTATAGATATTAGGTATCACACGGTTTTCAAATTTCATCGAGAGAAGGACAGGAAGAACGACTTAACTTCCATTAAATAGAAATCGATAGAATCCTGTCATTTACGACTCGCATACTGCTTTTTCATAAATAACGGAGTAGAGCTAACAATTGACAATTGAATTTGTTTTAATTGAATAAAATCATGTCCGCGTCAAGCTGTAATTCAATTTGTTCGAATGTTGTTAGTAAATTAAATAAACGTGGTTCCTCTTGCGCTATAATTTACCAAACTAATAACATTAGCGAATTAACGGATTGCAGGTCGCTTCTCTTTCGCAGTATTATATTTTTGCGTCGAACATAACAGAATAATCAAATGTGATATTATATGATTTGATATATTTCGTTATTAGTTTCATTAGCCGAGAATTTCATGCAATTGCGAAGAAGAGAATCCACTAATTGACAATGTCACGTTTATGCCACAAGGATAATGCAGAGAAATGATTGAAGAGAAATTCGAAAATTAACGGAGAGGTAATAAATATTTAAAAAGTGACAAGTATAGAGAAACAAATACGTGTACAAATTCTTCATAGCTATTGATTGCTAAATAATTTGTAATATCTCGACTTGTAAAACAAATGAAAATTCTTTTTTTCGCTCGTAGAGAAAAAAAATATTCGCCGATCTGTTCATTCGACGGTGGCGTCGAGAGAAGGTCATCATTCTTCGATTAATATTCTCGGAAACTGGAAGGTAGAAGGAGAGGAACCAGCGTTGCATGGTAGACAGCGGCAGATGGCAGAGAAATATTCATAGTGGTTGTGTGTCTTCGCGAGCGTGCGCCTCTATAGACGGATTGAGACAAAGTGGTGGCTTAAATCAGTCCGGGAGGCTACGTCGGTGGCAATTGTATATATCACGGTTTCAATGATCCTAACTTGGGGAAATTCCGACCGCATCGATCCGCGGCTCGTTGCTCGTCGGCAGACGTCGGCTCGGTAATAATTAATCCTGGCTGTTCAGGGAACTTTAACTTCGTTCGATGGAAACTTTAATGCAATACAGTTTCTTGAGCCAGCTTTCTCTTTCTCCGTGTACATCTCTCTCTCTCTCTCTCTCTCTCTCTCTCTTTGTCTGTCAGTTGCCGCGGCACGTCTGAACGCGAATTAATCGACTAGAATGGCGATTCCGCGAAACAGATAGCACGATTCGAGATATCATTGTATATTGGACGGAACGTTGCCCCGATAAAGCGATACTATTGTCCAACTATTAGGGATTTCACAAATATAGGCACTCATAGTCGAGGCCAACATTGATAGACAGAAACTTTTTTTGCTAGTATTTCGTTCGAACGTAGGGCAGAGATAGTTTTAGTTGGAACATGTTCCTGATCGTGTGTATTAAGTAAAACGATCGAGTAAGTCTGTGCGTTTTAAACATTCTCTATTTGTAAGGGAATATAGTTAAAATAATACATTTTTAGAATGCAACATTTTGGTGTGTATGATACATAAGTGATGGTTCAATGTTCCTATTTCTTTTTGAAAAAAAAAAATAAGTCGATTTCCATCATATTTTATTGCTTAATGGACTAACTACAAAATTAAGCTTTCGTCTAGTACTGGACATTATCACATGTGCCAGTCCAGAGCTTGAAATCAGTTATCGATATCGATTTCAGTCCTTGAACAACCGATATTCTTAATAATTGTTACGAAGGACCGAAATTTTTGTTTATACATCGATTTCGATTACGACCATTCATATGCAATAGAACCTTTTAACTTAACCCTTTAACTTAACAAAACTTTTTTCGCAATCAACAATTTTAATTTCCATCATCCAATTTAGACATGTTCAAACGAATTAATAATATATCGTCTCGCAAGTGGTATAAACCAGCGCGTGATCAGACACCCGCAAGTCAGTACATGGTCAGAGGTCCACAAGTAGTACAGGTCAACGTATGGTGAGAGCAAGTAAGTGTATGGTTAGAAATAAACAAGTAGTTACACGTTGAAATCGTTGAAGATTTATATTGTGAAACGGCGTGATATTTTCTTAAAAGATTCGATAAAAACGTAACTGATATTTTAATCGATAGAGTGGATAAAAATGATTTGGCAATTTTCGACATTTTAAAAGAATTTGCAGTTATCTCAATTAGGTTGTGCTCAGTGTTCAGTGTTCACGCGGATTCCTTCTGAAAATTCTTTCTGGGGAGGAAGGAAACAAAAGGTCATTGTGCACCATTACAGAGAAAGTACAAAAAACGTTCCAAGAAGCTGTAACCAGCATGCAGAATTTAGAACCGATACGAGGACCGACATAAGGTGCAGGACCGATATGTGAACCGATATCCGATACACACGAGGAACAGTAATCGAGTCCGATATCAGTGGAAATTTCGTTCCTTCGTAACAGTTATTTAGAGTATCGATCCTTCGTAACTGTTTCAAGTTTGTAACAGTGATGTAATTGTTTTTCAGGCTCGTTTCAAGCCTGCGACTCTACGTACACACGCAGCAATCTCTGCCCGAACAACAAAGCCATAATATCGGTTTCTGATGACAGATAACGCGTATCACTATAACCGGATTCCCTTTGAGTCAACTGTCGAGAGAAATTACTCTCTCTATAGGCATGATAAATTCTCGCTTTGTACCCGAATTCGCGTGTCATGTTTCCTTGCACTGCAAGCGTCCCGCAGAAAAGAAGTGCTCCCTCCTGTATAGACTTTTCCCCGTGTAATCTGACCTCCTCGTATGTTTATTAAACCCCTGGGTATTAGGTAACGATTACCGACGGAACCGTGGATGCTTTAAAGGCATGGCACAGGGGAAAGTTTCGCCACGCTTAACGAACACCGTCGCGACAAGCCTGACGATGACCGACCGGCGTTCAGGTGAACGACACCAGACGTTTCATTAAAGTTGAAAAGTCGCGGTCGTGTCGTGTCGTGCTTCATTCGCGGTCTTGTTATCGACGATTTTCGTGTAAATTTCACGCAAACGAGCGCTTTAATTAACGAAACGAGTGCCGGAAGTACGGCGAAGGGTTTTCAAGATGAATGTGTTATACACCGATCGCGTATTCGAGTCTTTTTCGCATTCGTATTCGATCCATTACGGAATGTTTTTCTTTAATTAACCTCATGCTTCGTCTGGTTTCGACGCCTCGCGCGGTTTTCAGTAATTGATCTTGTTGAATAGTACGACCGAAACTTGTAATATGTGCAACGAAAGCAACGTTGAATGTTAATATACAACGGCGGGATTGTTACACACTCGTAAAAAGTGAGATTGAATATTAACATTAATATTTAGCTGGAAATTGCTTATCGTTTTAACTGGAACACGTTTGCTTGCCTTGAGATTCGTGTTGTCACGTAAATGTCACGCAGACATGTTATTAAATGCGAAGGAATAATCGCGGCAAGACGAATTAAATATTGAAGAACGATTGTTCTTAAAAGTGTTCTCTCGCGGTGAGAAATTTTTATTCGAAACGAAAAATAATTTATAACTTTGAAAATAAACTTTCGTAAGTCTGACTTCTTGCCTCGCCTGTAGCTGATACGCAATTAATGATTCATCAGAAAAAGAAAGGTGGAAATAATTTACTCACCAGAGAATAGTTCAAGGAACTCTTCGACCCCATAAGTTCCAGTATATCTATAGCTTGGATCGTTCAGTGCGTCTTCGCCGTGAACTTTAATCCGTTTGATCATGAAGCTAATATTATCTGGCTGGCCATCCTGATTGAAATCTGTAAAATAGCAAACAACTATTGTTAAAAGTGTCTACAGAAAATTTTTATATCCTTACAATGTGCCTTAATGCAACTCCATTGTCACGAACAACTAATTGATTATTCAAATATTTCTGTTTCCTCTGAAAAATACATATACATATAATTTTCATACACGTTTCCAAACTTGTTTCAACTTTTATTAAACTACAGGTGTTTGCACTGTTCTATATTTTCATGAAGATCATTCAAAAATGATTTTGTAATTTAATGTTATAAGAACGTATTGTATTTCGAGCACATTATATTTTGCATCTTCAAATTATTCATAAATGCACGGAAATCTACAATCCATTCGTAAAAGCGGCAATAAAATGCGTCAAAATCTCTCCTACGATTATACGATATATTCATTAAAGGTGTCTGTAAGATGTTCAAATATATTCATGGGTGTGTGCACGCCCGATAAAAGGGAACGAAGAATTCAGATTTCAACGTTTCGACGGATTAAAGTCAGTCGGCGAAGTAGACGGTGTGGTTCTGCAAAATTCGTAGGAGTCGAGGAGAGGGAGCTACTCATCGAGGTAACCGATAGCTGATAACGAAAATCACTGGGCCTCTAGGTGAGTAATTTTCGGCTTCCTTGCCACTGATCAGTGCATTTCGAAACGGTTTCAGCCACCGTCGCGTGATGGAAAGCATTCAATCAAACACATTCTCCGCGGGAATACCAATCGAAACTGGAAAAACGACCCCGTGACACGCGATTCCTTTCACCTCGTGGTGAAACTCTCGTGACTTTCTAAGTGTAAAATGAGATCTGTGACCCATCGATGGAGATCTCTTTGAATCGACATTATCGAGAATTAATTTCCACGATGCGAAAAATTATTAGTCGAATATAATTATCGTCACGAAGTGAAGAGAACTCGTTTTTCGGTAATGCTTTGATTTCTAACTGAAGGATAACGATGGTATAATCTGACAATTGCATTGTGTGCTCTAAGTGGCTTCTCTATTTTTAACGATGTTAAATTATTAACTGCATAATAAATTAGAGTGAATGTAGACTTTTTTCCTCTTTTAAATTATCTCTCTTTTCTATATTTATTGCATGTATGGACTAGAAGTAGCTTGAATAATTGAGATGTATAATTTGAACAGTTCCCAAGGAAGAATGTTGTGGAAAAGAAATATTTTTCAAGTCATTTTCGAGTCCAAGTGAGTTGAGACAATCGCTGTGTATTTGAATATCCAGAAATAAATTTGAAATAAAAATTGAAGCGAAAGTATTCGAATCATGCTTGAGAATATTTTTGAACATTCCAACTCACGAAAACGAAGAAGACGTTTAAGTGCTCATTTCGGAAGTATCACACA